CACATTTAGCTAGGTCATTCGTTTCATTACACTACATTTAGCTGCATGAAAGAATACAGGACAATCGTTAAAATTAATTAGACTCTTGCTTTAGCATGAGACACAAGGAGATTAGAACAGCAGTATATTTAAAGTAGAGGAGCTCTATTATTGAAACTATTATTATTATTTAAAGTTATAGACGCGGAGAAGTTTAGAATTATTGATTTTGACTGCATGATCTTGGTAATACGGATATTTAAAGCAGTGTTTTCAACCTCTGAACCGTGGCTTGTTAATCATTTAAGAACAATCACATGCACAGTTGAAACTGGTGCTAGAAAGAGAACTGCAGCTTTTAATGGACGCTGCATTTAGTACAAAATGGTTTGTTCAGACAATTAAAGTTTGAAAAATGATTTAAAGCATTTCTGAATTTTGGCTAAAGGTGATATTGGATCATTTCTGATAACACATAGACGCAACACTGTTCATTGGTTGAAAACAAAGATGTAGGGACATTTTTTGAAATCTTTTATGACATGTTTCTCTTCCAAATAGCTAAATTAGAAACAATTAGGACAGTTATGTCTTTAATACAACTGTTGGCCGTTCATCTGAGACATGATTGGCGCAAGTACAACAACACACATAGGACAATGGTCTTTTCTCCACATGAACGTAAAACAAAGGTGAAGTATTAAAGTTTGAGACTAATTTACATTTTTAATGAATCCGACCTGGCTTTACTGAAAAAAGAAAAAAGAAGGAAACAACATTTTAAAGTAACAAGAGCTCATTAAAGATATAGGGGACACAATCTGTGATAAGCCCGAGTACAGACCACGTGGTTTAAACATTAAAGTTTGAAATGGATCCTTGTAGGAAAAATCTCTCAAAGCTCTGCATGTTCTGCAGGCTCTGAAAGTTGCAACAATAGAAATAGCTCATGAGACAATTGTAATTGGACATGGAAAAATATAACAAAGTTAAAATTACAGGCCTTCTGTGTTATATGTTTGTGTGTGCTATATGTTTGTGTGTGTTATGTTTGTGTGTGTTATATGTTTGTGTATGTTATATGTTTGTGCGTCATGTCAAGTACACTACGTTGACCTTAACAAACTGGACGAATATACTAACGTGGGGAGTCGGCCTGCGAGTGTGATGCGAGTGTGATGTGAAATGAGGAGTGAACGAGGAGTGCTGAACGGATCATGGAATAACAAATGTTTTCTGTAATGTTTTAATGTGATCATGGAATAATTATTTTTTGTCAACAGCATACGGTGTAAGTACTAGAGATTCAAAGATAACAAGCTTTATTGAACAGGTGTAAAAGTGAGAGTACTCTGGGATGAGTACTCTGAGAAAGTACTCTGCGGAAAGTACTCTGAGATGAATACCTTGCTGAAGGTACTGGGAGCCCCTCCCTCTGCTGTTTGTCCTGACAGTGATTCGGTCCAACCGCAGTGAGCTGTCGTTGGTTGAAGGACAACTTTGGTTTGTAACTCACATTTAGGGGAGTATAAAATAAGAAACATACATATTGTTAAGTCTGTATTTGGCTACAGCCTCTGCCCTGATGTCACACACCGTCTGTCAATGTAGTTATGTTTTGCCCAATTGGATTGATTGACAGGCCGCACCATGCGAAGAGGAAAGTGGGCATTTCTGGTGTTCTAATGTTTCTTTTTCAGATGAAAGATAAACTGCACCTGCTTCAGGGATGACAGTAGTATGGATCATGAGGAAATGAGCCTCTACTTTGGCACCAAAGCCCACAATACGAATGGAGGACGATCCGGGAGGAACAACTGGAGAATGATTGGAACAGTAAATCTACACACACACACAGATGCATACATTTACACTTGGCCCATGACCAAGAGAGGGGAGTATTGTATTGTCATAGGTGGTCATGGTCCTTAACCTTCTAAATCATTAGAAAGAAGTGTAAAACATATATTTACAAGAACAAATAAATAATAGAAAGGGCAGCCTAAAAAAGCAAAATGGGAAAATTATTAAGTAATTTTCAGAGTTGCCAAAATGAAATAAAATTCTATATTTGTCCCATAGGGGGTCATTCTAAATTTAGTGTTGTGCAAATTCAAAAGGAGAAATAATAGCGCTTATAACATCAAACAGATCTACTCTTTAAGATAATAGATCATACAATAATAATAATAGAATAGAATGAAATAGTCTGGAGCTATAATGTCATTGGATTCGAGGAGCTATAGGTTGAAAAGTCGCTAAGAAGAGGTGTCAGAATAAACAATAGTAATAATAGTTAGAGTAGTGAATAATCATCCATCCATCCATCCATTTTCTTCCCCTTAATCCATTTCTGGGTTGGGGGGGGGGTGGCAGTCAGAGCTACACCCAGTCCACAGAGCACCAGCCCCTCACTGATCCTCCTGCAGGTGGTGAGTCCACCGGAGGGAATAATCAAAATAGTTCTATTGTGGAAATAAGTATCAATAAGGTCAAATTGTTCTAATAACTAAAGTAAAAAGGAATCAAATAGTCAGATTTTAGATGTTTCTGTTTTCCACATCTGTAGGATCTAGTGCAGATGTGTTTATAGAGAGTAGTATTAAAATGCAGACATAGAACGACAGGCTTTAACACAATTTTAAATCTAAAAATAGCTCAAATATAACATTGCTCTTGACGCAGCCTCTGAGCTGCTCCATTGGAGAACAGGTTAAATGTTATTGTTTATTACAAACAGCTGATGTATTTACACATATTAAAGTTTGGGACAACTCTTTAAACAGTTATAAGCAGCGGACAGAAGCCATGAGTGTGCTTTTGTTTATTAAATAATTAAATGCATAGCCTTATAATCGTAGAGAACGTTTTCAAATAGTTAAAATCCCTTTCAGGCAACTTGATTTAGATGTCTTTAATATTGGAGAACGACTGTGTTGTTTTTGGAATTGTCTGAAATACAACACATAAAAATAGTGATTTGCAGAACAAGAACCAGCCAATGAAAAATCGTCCATTGCCAATGCAATTGTTACAATTAGAACCACAACTGTGACCAAATGCAATAAATGTTAAGGGTTCAGTCTGGCAGACAGAAAGGTTGATTTTTAGTCTGGGAGACTGAGCAACAGTTAAAATGTTTTAAAATGATAAAGTATGAGTATTGTAGCGTTTTAATAATAGTAAAAAAAGTAGAATTGTCCTTCCTTTGTTGTTCATAAACACATTTCCACATAAGAGTTAAAATAGTACCATACAATGTTATCTCTGATAGAGCAGATATTAGAATCAGAATAATGTTAGAGATATTAAAAGTGACAGAAGTTACAAACAAGGAATATGCCTTTGCTCAAGCTGCAACCGAGCTTTAGAGTCACAATAGAGTAAAAATAGGAATAGATAAATGCATCAACCATAGATGCTTTCAAAATGGAGATTATTTTTAGCCAAGGCTAATATCAAACGGTAAAAGGACCATTTCCTTCATATTATGTCTAAAAGTATTTACTTCAAAGGTAGATAAAGTTCATTACAGTTTATGCACAGTTTTATTAGATACTGTCAAATTCACTTGTTTCAAACATCTGTGAATGTTGACAATGCAAAAAGCTAATGAGATAGATTAATGAGATCGATTAGAACCAACACAGATTCAAAAACATTTGAAAGCAAACCACAGTATAGATAGATTTATTAGATAAAAACATATGTTTAAGAATAGGGCTCAATAAAAGCAAAATATGCAAACATATTTGTAAACAGATTAGAATAGTTTAAACTATAGTGAATAGTTTTAGTGCATACATTACAGACGAGGTTGAAGAAGAATCAGAATGACAGCAGTGGTCATCAAAGAGTTTAGTGAAGGAATGTTTCGAATGTGGTTGTGTGTTGTTTGTTTTCTCTGTATTAACTCTTCACAGATATCAAGCCGGAACTAAGCACAAGTATTGATGATAAACGACGATGTGGATTGTGACCTAATTTTTAATCAGGTCAAAAGAGGGAAACTGTTGTATTTATAAATTACGTGACATTCTAAAACCATGTGTTTTATGACCTAGCTAACCTCTAAGTGGGAGGCCAGTCCTTCTTATTTTATTTTAGGTGTCTTCTTGTGCCAGCAACTGGACAACAGATTCTCCTGTTTGGATTTCAACCCCCTAGTCTTGGCCTGCTGACTTCTGCACTTTTCAACCTCACTCCATCAGGAGTCTGGCAGACGGAGGAAAAGGCTGGACCCTAGACCGGAAGCTGGCTGATAGGACACTCCCCTCCTTCCTGTTCTTTATATATGCTCTGGCTTGGGGAGACACAGAAGGATCAGACGAGGGCCAGAGAGGGACATATTAGTTTTAGGAGCACTCTTTTGTTGATTTCTGTATCTGATTGTAAAGATAATTAAATGCAGATGTTAACCTTTGAGAATCTTTTTGTCTGATTTCTGTATCAAATTGTGGACACGTCAGCCAAAGGGAATTATTGGCTACACTTCCCATATGTATACTCACACATTGTTGGTTAAATATGACATTTCTCCACTGTGGGTTGAATAAAGGTTCTATAACGTTAAGCCAGAATCATGTTTTTATAGTCAAGCTAATATTTCGTATTGTTCTTTCACCAGCAGATGGCAGCATAGCCTCCCTGTATGGTCTTCCAGCGACACCATAGATCCAGATCCATGCATAGATCCTAATAATTACAGTCTATGATCCTAATTGTCTCGTGGGATTTCATTGGTCTGTGTGTTATTATACATACTGTTGCTGCTCAAATCAGCGTTATGTTTGCCAAACCAAATACAAAAAAAACATGTAAATACAAAAATAAACAACTATTATTTAATACATTTGTTTTGCTAAAACACAAACTCCTCAACCATTTAAAATCAAGAGATCAAGTAAACTTCAAACAAACTTGCAACAGAGTGCAGTCTATAAAATATCCCAAAAGGCAGTCCGATATTTACAACAGAAGCCCACATGGAGAAATTGTAAAAAAACATCTCGATAGTCTGATCAAACTGGGGACGAGCTCCAAAGGCTGGCATGATCCACAGCTGTAAAGAAACAAAAACACATGTAGAAGATCAGAGTTGACTTTTTTTAAAATCACAAATACTGAACTAAAATACTTACAATTATATTTGCCAACATCAGAAAGAGACAGACCTCCTTCAGAAGTCTTCTCTTCCAATTCAGTCTCTGCTGAGGCCTGGTGATTTCTCCAACAACACTTGGCTGTGTGTGCTCTTGAAAAGCACCAGAGATAGATGGCAAGACAGATTGTTGCTCTACATGAAACGGCTCCCTGTGCAATCCCCCGATAATAAAATAATTCTGCAGTCCAATCTGGATCACCTGCATAATGGCCCACACTAAATTGAGCAAGTTGATCACATCTGTCCTTCCTGTTGCCACCACAGCCACAATACTAAAATAGCTGATCAGAAACTGCCCCAGAGAAGACCCAAGCAGCAGCCCTACATCCAGACTTCGAGTTGGGTTCTTCTCAGAGACATGCTCCCTGCGGTCCAGAGCGTGCACAATCAAACCAACAACAGTAGAACCACACATCAGAAACACAATCACTATATTTGTTATGAAGTGCATTGGCAGACCTGTGTCTTTCTTATAGTCTTCCATTTGACTCCCAATCTCATAAAACACAAACGTGACTAGGCCGGTCAGAACCAAAAGCACCCCAACCACAGGCCCCAAACACACGTCTTTTGCATGAAACTTAAAACTGTGGTGGTGAGTCTGGCTTGCAACTATTCGTCCGACATTTTTCCACATGACGAAGGCCATGGTTGAGGCAAAGAGGCTGTACTCGATGTTAAAGGGATAGAGATAGTGGTACGCTCCTTTGAAGATTTTGCACGCAGACTGGTTGCACTTGCAGGAGTTGTCGCCATAAGAGACTGGGAATGAAAAGAAAAATGAAATGCATGTATATAGTCTTTGGAAAGGATTCTTCTTTTGAATGTTCATAAGTACCCATTTGCATTTGAATGGTGTTATTCTCATAAAATTCGGGTAACACAGTTTGATGGAGTGATTCTTCCATCACTGCCTCCATCCAAACTACCAGGTTTGTCAAGAGGGTTATTGTGAGACCACACCTGAAATAGAAATGAGAATTCTGTATACTGGTGAAACTCGGAAAATTGGAAGTAAATAGACTTTTTGAATAGTTTTATCAACATTTATCAACCTTTATGGACATTGGTCATCTGCCCCTATATGGACCAATGGCTCTGTGTTTTTATCAATCAGATTCTCTGATCTGTGTTGGTGAATTCAAAGGTTTTGTTAAGTCCTCCGAGATAACTAATGTTGTGATTTAGGGCTATACAAGAATACATTGAATGGAATTGATATCATTAAAAAGTCAATTTAATTCTATCATTCAACTTAAAATATGAAACTAATACATGACAGACTCAATACATGCGAAGTGGATAGAGGATATGTCAAGCATTTTTTATACTGATAAATGGTTCAAAACTCAAAAAACAAACAATAACATGTTAGGAAATTGTAATATTTTGAAACAATGGATTGTAAACCATATACCATCTCAATTTTAACAAACAGACTCAGAATTTGTCCCTCTGCAGGTAACCAATACCTTATATATTGGTCTCACATTGTAAATTACAGAAATCAATGAACTTTTGAACAATCTAGACATTTGAAATTTTTCAGAAACAAACTTATCTTTTTCTGCATACTTACCAGGTTATATTTTTGTTAGACAGGGCACAATCTTTGGCATGAGTCAGAAAGAAGTGAGTCTAAGTAAAAAGGTTAATTTACACAATAAAAGGAAGAGTAATAATTGATGCAACGAGAAGACCTTTTGTACCTGGACAAAGAGAAACACCGCTTGGATGACTGGAAATGCTATTTTAACAGCCGAGCCGCTCTCACACTCAATATATCCGACATAGCTTGAAATCTTCAGAACATCCATCAGGAGACTGAGGAGACCAAACACCACAAGACCAGCTGGAAAATGAGGATAATTATTCCCAACAAAATGAAAGAAATAGTAAAAAGGGCCTTACCTCGGAGCCAAACCGGTGCAGCGTGGATGTCTTTTGATAACTTGTGTTGATCTTTTTGGAAGGTGTGCACCATGTAGAATACCATCCATGCCATTGTGAGCGTGAGCAGTATGATAAGAAACACTTGTCGATGCACAGAGGTTATAGTGACGTAATTAAAAGCACTGCCACAGACTATCGCACAGCCCAGGAAGAGAATATTGATGCAGATTATTCCAGAAACAAGTTTTCCGCTTGTATTTTTGGCCTGCTCCTCTGTGGGCCTCAGCGTACTGTCTTCTTGCACATAGGCAATTGTAACACTTGATTGGTCAGCCGCATCAACTCTGTAATTATTTGTCATTTTTATCTATAAAATGAGTAAATATATAACAAGATCTGAGCTGCACATTCCCAAACGTACAGTGAGGAGCGACCAAAGAATTGCAAGAAACGGCATATATACTGTTCAAGAGATTGTACGATCTGCTGAGGAACCTTTTTGCGTAGTTTTATGAATTGTCAGAAAAAAACATGGTTCAATCCTGAATATGGCACCATTTTCAGTACGTCAGCCACAACACTGCTGCCAAGCCCTGTTGTGCTCATTCATTGACCTAATTAGCTTCACCTGACAGCCTGAAGCAAGCAGCGGGTAGGACCAAATGTGCTTCCATAAATACTTAAATACAGGTTCTGATGATATGGCTTGATTCTTCTATTGTTATATTTCAATGATTTTATTTGTGGAAAACTGGCTGCATAATGAGCTATATCTTCTGTCCAGGCTAAACTACTAAATATAGTCACCTTTAAAGCTGAGGGGTCCACCTGACTTTGGCCTTTTTAAATTGTGGCTCAAAAAACATTTATTCAGACTGACTTTAATCACACTCATTAGTACGGCGGCAATATTTTAATGCTTTGTTAATTTCTTTTGATCCATTTTATTGTTTGATTGCATGAATGTTCTAATGGATTTTATGTTATTGAAAGCACTTTGGTCACCTTGAGTGTTGTACAGGGCTATATAAATTAAATTGTATTTGATTGACCTTTCAAACCAAAATAAAATGAGCTAACGAAATCCTTCTTTGCTCTCAAACAGATTGGTTTTATCACTAGTTTTCACATGCATACATTTTTTGGCCTCTGTCACATTTTTAGATCATCTTTCAGAGAGAAAATTGAAAAAGAGAGGACCACCGTCACTCAGCCAATCAGCTCTCAGCTCTCAGCTCAAAGAGGCAAATAGTGAATCACTCATTCCCACAAGTATGCAAAAAATAACATGTTTTCTAATGAGAAAGCATGTTGTGGGCTGCTTTGTTAGAATTAATAGACTGTTTCTGTTGGGACAATCAAAATGAATTACGTATGAAAAGCAAAAGTTAGGTACTCCAGCTTTAACGCTGGAACTCCTGAGAGCAGTCTATTTGAATTTAGTTTAATTATGTGTAATTACTCGGTTTTCATAACTTTGTGACTTTTATGTCGTTTATTTCTATTTTTGTGAAACGTCTTTTTACTTTTGAAATGAGAGTAGTTTTACTTTTACCTCCCAGAATAGAGCTAGCTTCAACAGAAACATAATGTTTACTTGCTGCCAGTTTACATTTTATTTCAAATTATATTGACGAGTTTTAGCACTTAGTAAAAGTGATTAAAGAATAAAAACACATAATACATGACTTTCTTGTAATGTATCTGCTGTGGCCATTTCTCAGAATTCTATTGATTGGAGTCACATCACTGTGAGTCACAATGAACCATCTTTGTGATGGTTCTGGGAGTTCTCGTAGTTTCATAACTGTCCTTGAGTTACGCAAACAGCAGACATGGGCACAATTGACCTTACACAATCAGTTTAATTTTTCACCGATTACCTGCTGTGACAGCTTGTTTGGCCATAACCTTCAAGGATCAGATGAGTCCTTGTGCTTGTCACAAGTCTAAAATACAAAGTCCGATTTGGCAGCTCACCATGTCAGAAACCTCCACAATGCTGAAAACACCGGATCTGCTCCTGTTCCTTTGTATAATTTGTACAGCGGACGCCCTGTACAAGCAATGGATCCCTGACACCAACTTTGAGAACCGGACCAACTGGGACAGCGGAGTGGTCCCATGTGGCAACTCTGTGGTTCACTTTGCTGCTGACAGGAAAGTGTCTGTGTATGTGGAGACTGCCCATGCCGTCAAAGAAATGACAATGCCTATTTCTGGTGAGTTCATTTTAAATTCAGCCGCAGGATTTTTTGTCTCCAGTGGAAATAATCCTGGCTGTGAATCAACCACAATCAAATTCAAAAACCCAGATTCTTACAAGTGGGTGGACCCAACTTTGTGGCAAGCAGCTGCAACTCAAGACAACCTCCTGAATAAAAAGTACATATTTTCAGTGCACGAGGAGAGCATTCCATGTCACTATGACGATGTGGTCTTCAAAGCCAGCTCCTCATTCAAAGTGGACACCAGCTCCAATCAAGCACACATACCTGTACAGTCTGTTTCTATATTGGGAAAAAAGTTTGAAGATTCTAATGAGTTTTCCCAGTATCTTCAAAGCCAGACTGGACAACTTCAGTTCCATGGGTCGTCTTCTGTCTCTGTGGGAGCATCTGCCTGTTCGGACCCTACTGGCTGTGACTGTGGCAACTCAGCAATTCACCAGCACATTTGTGACACAGTGACTTGTTCTCCTACTTCTTGTAAAAATCCCTTATTCCCCACCGGACACTGTTGTAAAGTTTGTGGGGCTATTGTTAGCATTCGATATGCGTCAAACTTTCAACTTGAGACATACAGGCAAAGAATACAGCACCTTTTCCTTATGCTCCCTCAGTACAAATCAGTTCAGGTTGCCATGTCCAAAGTCTTCAAGCCAATTAGACTGATGGAATTGATCCCATTTGGTTCAAAGGCAGAAATCCAGGTAGTAGTTGTAGATGATCTTAAAGGTTTGCAAGCAGAAGCATTAGCCAGAGAACTAGTTAAAGATGCCAATTCTCATGGTTCTAATTTAGGAATAGATGAAGCTGGATTCCAAGCTTCCTCGGGGAACATGAGTCAGTCTGGAAATGCTGGCGTGATAGTTGGAGGCATATTTGGGCTTCTGATCATGATTGCACTCATTTCTACTTTAGTTGTTTTGGTTAATAAAAGGGTAGTTAGTTTACCTTCGCTCCCACCGATGCCGTCTATGAGCTGGTTACAGAGAAGGAGTGATGATGACCTTGGAGGGTCTTTGGATCAGGGCTATGACAACCCCATGTTTGACAAGCCCACAGTGCTGCCTGAGATTCCCAGTCTGTACGCCCCAGAAATCAACATGTCTATCTCAATGCAGTCACAGGTGCACTTTGTTAATCCTGTTTATGATGAGAAAGAAACTGACTTCAATGCATAAGTTTGGATAAGAGTATATTCATTTAAAATAGTACACTTTAATAGCCACTAGATGGTGGGAGAATCACTAACCGTTCAGAAAATAATCTCATTAAAAACTTTTAGTATGTTGAAGCATGTTTGTTATCTTATGTGTTTGACAGTTCACATTTTTTAATTCAGAAAAGACATAATCTAAGAATGAATTATACAAAAAAAAAATTGTGTTTTTAAATGATCCAATATATTGACTTGCGTGTTTGCCTATGCTACTGTAAGTATAAATATGTGAAACTATGTAGGCCATTTAAAACCGCTGAAGTCAATAATTCTCAAACTTTTCAGTCACGGCTGTAAAATCAACTTCATATTTACAGTCTATGCTTGTGACATCCACCTCTGAGTGCATCGGACAGAAGTCATAATTTCAAATGTAAAAACATGCATGTTATCTGAAGTTATTTTACTTAAATAATCATTGTTTGTTGTTAAATAATCGTGGATGTATTAAGGCTATAAATGCAGTTTTTTAAGTCAATTGATTAAAAAAGTTTGAAAACAAAACCATTTTATTTCCAATTTTTTATTGATTGATATCTTTATTTAAAGTTTGCAAAAGATAAAACATTTTTTCTGATAAAAACAGCATGTTGTGGTCTGATTTTTTTTCACAAAGCTTTTCTATTACAAGCCACTGTCTGTGAAGATAAACACAATGTATCATCGAACTAAACAAATCAGTACCTCACTTTAAACATACAGACTTTTCAATTAAAATGGATTTGGAATCATGAAGCTTCACTTTGTTGTCTTTTTTTGAGAGCCACACAATGACATATAAAGGCTCTGAAATATCTGCCTCCATGCTGTGCAACAACTCAAATTGATCATTTACTTTATAAAAAGAGACAGAGCTTTGCTGAAAATCAATGTATAAACCCACTGTAGTTACATCAGTGACCTCTAGGGGCGTCTCTACACCTGCATGCCATACAGAAAGCTTTTTACTGCTTCTCCCAATGCACCAGGAATATTCACTGTGACAGATGCAGCCGGTTAGCTCCTCTCCTTTACGGCTGATGCTTTTGTACGTGACTCCGACGTGAGCGCCTTCTCCGCTCAGATCTGCTTCGATGTAGTGTCGGCCCAGATACAGACTGTCTGAAGTCAGGCCCTGTCTCCAGTGATCAAAGCGGCTGCCGTTGTCCGGGTAACTGTGCTGCCACGGACTGGTGTTGGTCAGCTTCCTGTGGTCTTCTGTCACACGCAAGAAGTTATGGATGGTGTCGGGATCGAAAGTCAGGCTCTTTTGGTCTATAAAGAAAAACAACATTACAAATCAATACAAAAAGTCCAAAGGCACAGACTTGCGGTAAACTCATATTTACATTTCAGAAAGTCCTCTCTGGTCAAAGGCAGTGGAAGTGTTGAAGGCTCAGTGTCTTTGGTCTTGACTTTGCTTCCTACTGTATCAATGAAATACAAAAAAAAAATTAATATTCTTCAGAAGGAAATTATATCTGAGGTACCTAACATAAAACCCACCAAAAATGAACTAGATCCATATAACTAGTTCCTTAATCTCAAAACCGGTTTGGTGCTATCACTAGTTTTCCCATATAGATATTTTTGGCTCTCAGCCCAAAGTGTCACATACAGTATGAAACACACAAAGCTCTCTTTCTTTCAAGTACGCACAAATATACACTGTTTTCTAAGATGACGAAAGGATGTGGTCTGACTTTTACAAGACTTTTATGTTGGGAGTCTATAGGGACATACAACCTTTAAAATTTATCTATGAAAACGTAGGTACCCCAGCTTTAACTAAAAGCACAGATATCTGCTTTTGTGTTCTGAAATGAACGCACCACTTTTGGACACCTGCTCCATGCTCTTGCTGTAGTTGGACAGAACCAGCTCAGACAGGTCTGTCGTGGTGTCGGTGACCACTTGCACGTATAAGATCAGATGCTTCATGCTGGGACCGTGGACGGCAGGCGGAGACACATCTGGTGACACTTTCTTCCACTCAGAGTACTTCTACAACAAAGGTAACCACATGTTATGGGTCAAAACAAGACCTCCACCTTGTATTATGGCATACAACAAAGGATGTTCCCAAACCCACGTTTCTTTCTGTAAAGTTAAAGTAACCCATGTTTACTACAAATACAACACTTCTCGTAAATCCCTGGAATGACATTTAATACTGTACTTTTCCAAGAACCGAGAACATGCTCGAAATTCACCGTCATCATTTCAGAGACAAATGTTTTGTTGCTATGTGCAGTTATGCAGACTTTTTCAGAACTGAGAACGTCTTCATATCACAAGTGAATCTGTCTGAAACGTTTGACTCTTTGAAAATAAAAACATTTAAACAAAAAACATGAATTGGTTTACTCAATATGTTATTAAATTGAATAATAATAACATTTCTGTTTTATACAAGGCTTTTCTAGACATTTAAAGATGCTTCACACGACATGACTCATTTCATACAATGTCAATGATGGTAAACTAGAATAGTAGTCACATCCGCCCTGGGGTAAGCCGACGGAAGAAAGCCAACGGAAGAAAGCCAACTAATCTATGCCATTAGTCCCTACAACCATCAACAATTAATCATGCACACACCAGACTCATACTGAGAAACTGGGCAAGAAGGGTGAAATGTCTTGCTTAAGGGCACAGTTTGGCACTTTACAAACATAAACTTCCGGCCTGGTGTTCCAAGGAGTCTCCAATCATAATACTAACCAGGCCAGGCACTACTTTGCTTTCATGGGAAAATAAATGCACTGTATTTGTGTTTACTATAGAGCTGATGAAGTAAAACACTGCCCATTTGGGTCCAAGCTAAAGATAATTATAAACAAATAAACAGCAAGTTCTACAAAACTTGAATATTGTCTTTATCAAGAGTTGGTGGCCAAGCAGTATTCAATCAACCAATCCTTACTTTTCTCATCACGTGCACATAATGACTTATCTTTTCTTTTTCAGCAAAATGGAGCTCAATCTCTAGTGTCTCATTGTTCCTGGAAGTTAGAAATGATGTCACACTTTACAGTCAAATAAATGGAAAGAATTGTGCAATATAAAGACTGACACTGTTTTATTGTTTTTATGACAATAAATGTCATAAAATATCATAGGGATGTTTAGGAAGCTAAAATCTAATAAAACAATAAACATTAAATAAAGAGTGGAAATATACTCAAGTTTAAAATGTGTGGTGAAAAGATGTCTGTTTTCTTGTTTTGTGTTCTTATATGAACCTTTTGCATACCTGTAAAAGGTCCATGTTGGACTTGGCCCTGAGCAGCTTGTTTGTTTGAGCCTGGACCCTGTGGAGCTCCTCTCTCCTCTGCTCCAGATGAGACTGTATGTTCTCAGACTGTCGGAGCGCCTGCCTCTGTTCTCTGTCCAAAATCTCCATCACATTCTTTTTGGCCTCGTCGACAGTGCTCTGTAGCCTGGAAAACTGCTGCTCTATTGCAACACTGGCTTCTTGCACCAATTTCTGGGGAAAAGTGGAGAAAAAACATGTATGTAAGAAATAAACGTCCTTGACTGATTGAAGAAAAAAGAATAATCTTCACTTGCTTTATCTTTACCATATCAGCAGTTCACATAAATAATATGAAATCAACCTGCAATATATGTTATAATATAATACTCAAGACGTTTGTCCTTGGGAACGGTAGGAGGAATTCAAAGGGACAGTATAAAATGCACGCTGAGTGGTATTATACTGTCACTGAAATTACATCAGCCTTTTGTTGCCAGAGTCCTGCTGTCTGTGACACATGTAGATCCTAACCACAACGACCACATTCTGCTCTTGGAGAATGTAGAGAACAAAATTATTGTTCAGGTCAAACCAGATCTGCATCACACCAGAGAAGTATCTAATGCAGTATACCATTTTTGGGAATCTGAGTACAGCGCACCACCATCATCCGGAAAAGGGTAAGCATGCCACAACAAATAGGCTCCATCCAGGAAAGAGCCTCACCAGAGTGTTTCAGTGAGAGCCGTAGAGTCCAACCCACAGATATCAGAGACATAAGACATCAGACATTGTGTACAGGATGTGATTATAAACTGTATAAAGTCAGTGAAATGAAGGCCAATCCGGAACTTGAGAGCATGAAAGCAGATGAGAATGTAGATAGAAAGTACTCCATATATAGCAGTATTAGCACTAGGAAAGTTCCGGAATCATGCGTAAATAAACATAATGCAGATGTGCTCGACCAGCCTCTGTCTCAAAGAAAATCATACCTCTTGAAATCTTGTTCTTTTGACCTAACTGCAGTAAGCAGCCGCTGTACACAAGGCCTTTAACTACTGTTCTTGATGTTGATGCAAATTTGTCTCTTATGGTTCTAACCGCTGCACCATCATGCCGCTTTCCAACTTAAGGGAATGCATGGGTCTTTTGAATGTCATATAAGGTCCCATATTACACTTTTTGACTTTTTATGCTTCAAAACATCATTCTAGTGATATGTGGGATTAACACACATGCCCAAATGAATGTTTTAATTGACTCTCTCAAGCTTTAGTTAGAGAGCGATCTTTCGCTTTCATTCTTGAGAGGTAGCAAAACACCTTGGTCCACATTGATGACGTGGAATAAGCTAGAGGAGCCCGCCTCCAGGTGATTGACAGGGGAAGAAACAGCCAAGTCCATACTTTTTTCTGCTATTGGCATAAATAAATATTTAGGGTCTGATTCTGGATCGAGGATATGGGCTCTACATGGCAGGTCACCATTGTTGGAAGAGTTTTTGTTGTGATGTCAACATAAACTTTACATTTATTTTCTGAAGAGGAAAAAATCCGAGGCACGCTTGACATTGAAATATAAATTCTTTAATGTACAGGGATAAACTATTATTTGTGACATTTTTTTCCTGTCTAGCATGTTTTAAAATGAACCAAAAACAAAATATTAAGAAGAGTAAAACAAACGTAAATGTAATATGTATTTGATTGTATATCAATTGGAGTTTCTCTGAAACAATTTAAAAAAAAAAAAACATTGGTAATGTTTACACAAATCTTTATACATTGAACAAACTATATGTTAAACTAATATATATATATTCATGTATTTTTTTTTCTCTAAAATCGATCACTGCACTCCTAAAATATTGACATAATGAAAGCAGTGACCATTCTGATAATTTACCAGAAAACAGGCAACATTAAACAGTTTGTCTATGCTTCCAAAGATAGACACAGGAACGATTTGTTCAAAAACCTTGTTTTCCTTTACCCTCCTGATGCAGTGTTCCACATGAATCCTAAGCCGAGTGAGAAGCTGAGGCCCTGTTTATACTGAGACGCTGCGCAGACGTTTCCAGGCTATTAACAGAAACGACCTGGCTCCTAATGCAAATTTCTCAGCGTTCACATGAGGTTGAAAAACGATGTAGTTCTAGCGCCCGGCCAGTAGTGGGCAGAGAAACTTTACAACACGACACACGACCCCGAGCCCCGTGCCCAGCCCCCCTCCCGGCAGTGTACTCACTTCCTGTGCCAGACCCTCAGAATGCACCAACATCATTCTGCCTTTTAACAGCATCTGTGAAAATGGGAACTGAACCTAGAGCTTCGTGTGGTCTCGTTTGGACAAACGAAGGAGTAGAATCTTCCTCCGTGCCGCGCTGGAAGCCCACGAAGCTAGTTAGTGTGACCGCCGCCATTGTTGTTTATGTTTGTTCTCCGCTACTGCGCATGTCCAAATTTACGTGCTGGGAGCAGCACGGAGGCGGGGGTCAGAGCAGAGGGGGATTTCACACATTTTCCCCTCTCGCGGGTGTGAAAGAGCTCCCTGCTGTGCAGCGTTTCTGAGGCTGAGTTTACACGGAGACAATGTGGCAGTAAAACGGTATAGTTGGATGTCGGTTTCAACCAACCGTTCATACGAAGACTGTGTTCCAGGGGGGTGAAAACGTAAGTGTTCAGATCCAGCCTGCAGAGTGGGACAACTCAGAAACGCTGCACAGCGGGGAGCTCTTTCACACCCGCGAGAGGGGAAAATGTGTGAAATCCCCCTCTGCTCTGACCCCGCTTCCGCGCTGCTCCCCGCACGTAAATTTGGGCATGCGCAGTAGCGGAGAACAAACATAAACAACAATGGCGGCGGTCACACTAACTAGCTTCGTGGGCTTCCAGCGCGGCACGGAGGAAGATTCTACTCCTTCGTTCGTCCAAACGAGACCACGCGAAGCTCTAGGTTCAGTTCCCATTTTCACAGATGCTGTTAAAATGCAGAATGATGTTGGTACTTTCTGAGGGTCTGGCACAGGAAGTGAGTACACTGCCGGGAGGCGGGCTGGGCACGGGGCTAGGGGTCGTGTGTCGTGTTGTAAAGTTTCTCTGCCCACTACTGGCCGGGCGCTAGAACTACATCGTTTTTCAACCTCATGTGAACGCTGAGAAATTTGCATTAGGAGCCTGGTCGTTTCTGTTAATAGCCTGGAAACGTCTGCGCAGCGTCTCAGTATAAACAGGGCCTGAGTTGTCCCACTCTGCAGGCTGGATCTGAACACTTACGTTTTCACCCCCCTGGAACACAGTCTTCGTATGAACAGTTGGTAGAAACCGACATCCAACTATACCGTTTTACTGCCACATTGTCTCCGTGTAAACTCAGCCTGAGTCTGCAGAACGTCTTCTTGTCTCATTTGGGTTCTTTCAGAGAAGAAGGCTGGACAATAAACTTTGCAGGGGGCTAGATTGTCAATCTGAAAACCCTTGCCTGACTGTTTCAAGATCTCGCTATCGCTCATGGATCCTGCGTACAAGGTTGAAACAAATGTGATTGCACCATGGGGAGCCATGCCAATCATGGCCTTGAGTGTAGCATGAGACTCTCTCCTCTGTGAGATAAATAAAGCTTATCTTATCTTATCTTAAGTGATGAAAATACTGATGGCGTTTCGCAGTAAATCTCTGTGCAGTCAAGTACCACTTGTGTGTCAGAAAATGACTCAAACTCCGGGGGAAGCAGAGCCCTCACAACTTCCCGCGGCAACCAGAGACCTTTGCTTCCAAGTAGCTGATAAAGGAAGTAGGTCCAGGTTGTTATAATCTTGCATACCGTTCAACACCTATTAGCAACATCGTGAGGTAGAAGGCCAACAGAAAGGTACACCAGGAACATGAAAAGTTCATCAATAGCAGGAGGTTTCTGAAAAATAAAAATGTTAAGCATTGCATGTATTCAAACTATGTTTTCAATAAAATGCTAAAGTGTGTGCAGAACTGTTCTATGTTTTCCTAAATGGATCAATTATAGATTGATCCATTACAAATGACAGTAGGAGGCAAATCTGTGAATGTAATAAGATGTTTTATGATATAATAAGAAGTAATAAGATGTTATATGGCATTGTACCTCGTGAAAAAGCGAATGTCATCGTCTGAGCCGGAAAAGCGCTGCTAACAGAAGCGGCTGTTTAGTTGTTTCTTCCTCAGTTAGTGTTGTATTTGTAGTAAACATGGATTACTTTAACTTTACAGAAAGAAACGTGGGTTTGGGAACATTCTTTGTTGTATGCCATAATACAAGGTGGATGTCTTGTTTTGACCCATAACATGTGGTTACCTTTGTTGTAGAAGTACTCTGAGTGGAAGAAAGTGTCACCATAAGCTAATGCTTATTTTCAGTCAGTGCAGCTGATTTTGACAAACAGTAATCATGTTCGATTACTAAAACCTCCTTCTCAGTGTATGAGGTATCATCTGCCGCAGCAGGCCTCTCTGCCTCTGGTTGCCAGACACTGGGCTTTGAAGTGGGCAGTGTGTAATTGTTCCATTCGAACAATATGGGCACAGAACCCTTCCTCAACTTCCTTAAACCTTTGCGTGTTTCAATTACATCTCCCGGTTGAAAATGACGGCTACACACCGGTGTACCTTTGGTTGGTGCAAAGTGTTCTCTCCTGATGTTTACCAGCCACTGTCTGCGCATTTCATCTTCAACCGGGAAGCAATGGAAACTTACTTTGCGATTATACCGTGACGAGACAGTACAAGAAGGCACACAGCAATGTTGTGAAGAGGATCCTAACACTTGAAAGGTTAAGCATCTCGTTTTAGTGCTGAATAAACTCATTTTAGCGCGCTTCCATATCACATCCAACTCTAGATAACAAAGGGGGGGGCAGGACGGGACCATGGATCTATAATAATAACCCTAATAACGGGACAGGAAGTGCTGCCGCTAAGTCACGAACCCGGAAAAGGGTGGTCATGTGACAATCCCGGATCTAGATCTAGCTACAGCCACGAGTCCTTATCTTTGTCAGCTGAAAACACTCTTTAGGAAACAAAATGTAAACGTGTGAGATTTCATAACACTTTGAAGCAACTGTGGTTAGGGTTCAAACTCATTCTAACATTTGCAGGAGACAGTACTTTTCCACTTGATGTTTTGTCTGTCTGAAGGCCAAGCTCCTGGCATCATGGCGAAAGCTGATTGGACGGTGTTCATTCCTCCATGCT